GTGCTAGGAACAATTAAATCTAGGATTAAGAATAGGCAGCTTATTATTGTACAATATGCAGTGTTAATAGGAAGCAGCAACTGGTGTGCTAGGAACAATTGAATCTAGGACTAAGAATAGGCAGCTTATTATTTGTACGATATGCAGTGTTAATAGGAAGCAGCAACTGGTGTGCTAGGAACAATTAAATCTAGGACTAAGAATAGGCAGCTTATTATTTGTTCGATATGCGGTGCTGACGGGAAGCAGCAACTGGCGTGCTAGGAACAATTCTACACGATCCGTTAATCCCGACTCATTACATGATATGGTCCGCGTGGGCCGGTTAACATGGTGCATACGCGTGCTCTCTCTGTTGAACGCTTTGTTTAACGCATTCGTACCGTTTCTACTGCAACGAGATATACCATACCCAAGACACTGAGCATTACACATACTAACGGCCTAGAACAGCCCACATCTGAAAACAGGCGTCTCATCGACGTGACTTCAGTACTATTATTTTTCTTCCTCTCGGCATTGCCGCCCGCATACGCAAGCCGCAAAATAAGATACACAGACTAGCACCACCCTAAACCCTAGAAACCCTAAACCACAATCACATACTTCTCCTGCTGATGGGAGGCCTCGATCGCTGCCAACTGTTTCTTCTGTCGCTCTTTCAACTCCCAGAATTCGCGATCCAGCGACCCTTGATCGCTAAGAACCGGCGTGCTCTCAGCCGCAGGTGCGTGTGGTTGGCGCTGAGGCTGTGCTTGCGTGTGTTGCGGTTGTGAATGTGGTGATAGCGGTTTTTGGAAGTGCTGTTGTGGCAGATACTGTTGCTGTTGCTGTTGCTGTTGTTGTATATGTTGTGGTGGTTGCTGTGGGTGGGGTGTTCCGTGAGAAGCCCCTCTCTGTGCCGTCGCTTGTATGTTATTGGGCGTGATTCTCCCGTTGTTTATAGTGGCGCCTGCGGGTGAGCCCATATTCGGCCCTGAAGGTAAATTGGAACTAGATTTTGTGTTGACATCTGGGTTCGCATAAGTACTCGCCTGCATACCCCCCAGCAACGGCTGCGACTGCGAGTTCGACACCCCATGAGTCCCCTGCACCTGTCCTGGATTCAGCCCATGACCTTGACTTTGACCTTTGGCCCGTTTTTGGACCGGTATCTGGGACGGTTGCCCTTGCCCCGTGTGCTGTGGTTGCTGTGGCTGCGTTTGCACCTGCGTGTACTGCTGGGGCATCCCCTGCGGCTGTCCACTCGAGGCTTGTCCCTGTGACTGTAGGGCCGTCTGCTGCCTCGACTGCGTGTGTTGTGGCTGGGTCGAGTACTGTGGTGGTGTGTGACTGCCCCCGTGTCCTGTTTCGCTCTGAAAGTGGTGCATCTGCGGCCCCGCGTGAGGCGCGACAGGTGCTGGCGGCAGCTGGGCGGCGCCCTGTGCATGATGCTGGTACTGCTGTGTCCGTGTCGGCTGCCTGGGCGACTGAGCCAGTGCATGTGGCTGCTCCTGCGCATACTGCCCCTGTACTTGTCCCTGTCCTGGTGCCTGGGCCAGTCGGCGTGCCTGGGCCTGTTCCAGGGCATGGCGCTGTTCATTGGCCTGGTGCTGCTGTGCCTGCAGCAGCAGCTCGTTGTGCAGCCGTTGCTGCTCTTGCGCTGCCTGGTGTTCCCGTTGCAGCTGCTGCTGGTGAAAGGCTTGGGCCTGAGTCTGAGTCGTCTCCTCCACAGGGCTTTGGCTCCGCGCCCGCGAACCGGGTTGGCCCATTGCCAGGGACGTAGAGCTTGATCGTAGCGATGGTTGCTGTTGCGAGGGCTGGGTCTGAGGCTGAGGCTGAGGCTGAGGCTGAGGCCGATGTGGCGGCTGTGATGGGTTCGCATTTGCCCGTGGCATGGGCGTGGTGTCCTGTTCCGGCGCGGGGGACTTTGGGGCATTTGTGGTGCTGCTGAGTACGCTTGTGCTGCTCGTATGCAGCTCTGGCATATCGGCCTGGGTCGGGTCGTGCGATTGGGGCCCGGGCAAAGTGGCTTGATAGTCGTTGTAGTGATTGACCAGGGGTGCGCCACTCAGGATTCTGGCTTTGGACAACTCCACGATTTGCTCGATGTCTGATATGACCTGTGTGCGTGTGTGGGACGGCGGTACTTAGGACAGGACGAAGGGGTGTGCCGATTTGGTTCGTGCCTATTTCCAGTCCATGGAGACCCGAAAACAACGAGAGAATAGGAGCGGGTGTATTTGTGGAGCGGAATGTGAAGCCAATTGGGCCAATCAGACCCCAGTTCACTCCCCATAAATTGCTACAGTCAAGGAAGTACGGCACATCAACCGTACCAGACAGCAACAACTCGTACCGCAAATGTAGATATTGCACACCCAAGAGTTCTTGGAATTCACATATGCAAGCCATGCATGCTTAGCTCATTTATACACAGGTTAACACGTAAATTGTTCGTTCTAATAATACACATGTCACGTGATTGTAACCCAACACACTCGGACAGTACGCTGCACATGTACACATGTATGGACACACGTACACACACACTGCATGCAACGACCTATCCCCCACAGCAAGTCCTTGCGCATTCTAAAGAACATGTACCCATGTACACACAAACGACCTATCCCTCACAGTAAGTCCCTGCGCATTCTAAGCCGCACACCTTGGCACTGTCGTCCTCGTCGATTATGTTCACATCAATCAGCTCCTCAACGATATCAAAGGCCGTGTCTTTAGTCAGATCAAAAGGAAAGTGCACAGCGCGTCGCTCGGCGCCTTTTGTCGTTTCAAACATAAGCTGAAGGATGTCACTGGAGGATGAAACGCACACGAATGAGTGGTAGGTGAAAGCAAATAAAACAGAGAGATATCACTGGAGGATGAAACGCATACGAATGAGTGGTAAGTGAAAGCAAATGACAACAGAAAGATATCACTGGAGGATGAAACGCATACGAATACGTGGTAAGTGAAAGCAAATAACAACAGAGAGATATCACTGGAGGATGAAACGCATACGAATACGTGGTAAGTGAAAGCAAATAACAACAGAGAGATATCACTGGAGGATGAAACGCATACGAATACGTGGTAAGTGAATGCAAATAACAACAGAGAGATATCACTGGAGGATGAAACGCATACGAATGAGTGGTAAGTGGGATGTAAACAAAGGCAGATTGGTTGCGACAGACATTTTCGAGTATAAGATGGGGCGAGTATGAGTGCATAACAGTTGCATGCGAATAGAAACTAATTGAACTAGTTGTTTGCGCATATAATCTAATTTAATTAATTGTATTCGAATAGAAACTATTTAAATTAGTTGCATACGAATAGAAACTAGTTGAATTAGTTGCATACCAAAAGAAACCATATGATATAGTTGCATGCGAATAGAAACCAAACAATTTAGTTGCATGCGAATAGGAACTGATTGAATTAGTTGTTTGCGAATAGAAACTAATTTAATTAGTTGTATTCGAATAGAAACTATTTAAATCAGTTGCATACGAATAAAACTAATTTGAATTAGTTGGATGCGAAAAGAAACCATATGATATAGTTGGATGCGAATAGAAACCAAACGATTTAGTTGGATGCGAATAGAAACTAATTGAATTAGTTGGATGCGAATAGAGATTAATTGAATTAGTTGGATGCGAATTGAGACTCATTGAATTAGTTGCATGCGAATTGAGACTCTAATTTAATTAGTTGCATGCGAATTGAGACTCTAATTGAATTAGTTGTATGCGAAAAGAAACCAAATGAATTAGTTGCATGTGAACACAAACTCATTCAAATCAACGGACATCAGCAAAAGAATTTATCTGGGGTTCGTCATCCGAGTAATACAAAAACCCAATCAATCGCATGAGGATCCACACAACCAGACCAACAACAAGCACTTGGGCCACTGACTGCGCAAGCAATGCCCCACAGCACATACCATACACACGCATACACGGCAATACATCGGTTATCACGGTGACACTGTACTGTATGCGCATCATCCGCAACCACGTCTCACAGCCGAGTCACACGTCTCGACCGATTCACACATACTTACTTGGTTTCAATTCCCATATGCTTACTTGGTTTCAATTCACACATACTTACTTGGTTTCAATTCACACATGCGTTCTTGGTTTCAATTCACACATACTTACTTGGCTTCAATTCACACATGCCCCCACTTGGTTTGAATTCACACATACTTACTTGGTTTCATTCACGAAGCCCAAACAGGACACTTCACTGACAGCTGAGGTGGACTGTACAGCCTCGTACGCTTGTTGCATGCGCAGAGCCTCGTCTTCTTCGAGGTAGAACATCTCGTCTGGGTAGCCGTTGTCACCTAGAGTGGCCTGGTTGTGAAACAGAGCCAGACGTGGACGGTATGACATGAGCCGGGTTACCAATGTCAACTGTGTGGGTGGGGCGTTCCAAGTGATACTGATAGTGTGACCGTGTGCTACTGGTAGTGTAACTGTGTGTTTCTGATAGTTTTAACCGTGTGATACTGATAGTGTAACCGTGTGCTACTGATAGTGTACTGATAGTGTGACCGTGTGTTGCTGATAGTGTGACCGTGTGTTGCTGATAGTGTAATCGTGTGTTACTGATAGTGTAACCGTGTGTTACTGATAGTGTAGCTGTATGCTACTGATAGTGTAACCGTGTGCTACTGATAGTGTACTGATAGTGTGACCGTGTGTTGCTGATAGTGTAACCGTGTGTTACTGATAGTGTAACCGTGTGCTACTGATAGTGTACTGATAGTGTACTTATAGTGTAACCGAGTGCTACTGATAGTGTACTGATAGTGTAACCGAGTGCTACTGATAGTGTACTGATAGTGTAACCGTGTGTTACTGATAGTGTAGCTGTGTGCTACTGATAGTGTAACCGTGTGCTACTGAGATTGTATGCGTGTCCGATGGGTCCTTTCTGGACGTATTCATGTATATGCTAGTCTACGGAGCTCTCTGACTTGCATGCGCCTGAGCACATTTATACAGTACAGTACACCCACTCACACAGAGTCACCCGCAGGCAGCGCAAAGCATTGAATATCGCGGGTACTTCTGTCAGCAACACCTTGTTCTAGGGTCTTAGGGTTTCAAAGTTGCTAAGATCGGGTAAGGAGGTGACGGATAGGATAGCGATAGATGGGAGACTCTGAAGATCATCCGAAACCACACACACGACCTGAAGTCCAATGAACACAGCGGCCCAATGCGTCTCTAGAAAGTGGACAGTCCAAACACGCCCATGTAACACTCCCAGACATACGCACAACCCTTGCAACACTCCCAAATACGCACAAATACATTCACACACTTCTTGCAACACTCTCATACATTCACACACTTCGTGCAACACTCACATTTACACACATTTTGGAATACTTCCATACCTTCACACACTTCGTGCAACACTCACACATTTACACACGTTTTAGAATACTTTCATACCGTCACACACTTCTTGCAACACTCACACATTCACACACGTTTTGGAATACTTCCATACCTACACACACTTCGTGCAACACTCACACATTCACACACGTTTTGGAATACTTCCATACCTTCACACACTTCGTGCAACACTCATACATTCACACACGTTTTGGAATACTTCCATACCTTCACACACTTCGTGCCACACTCTCATACACTTAATACACGTTTTGTGATACTTCCATACATTTTCCGATGAGATCTCGTCGCCTGGCAGAGAGTCCGCCGGTGGCTGCTGTGGCTGTTGCTGTGGCGGTTGCGGTTGCTGTTGCTGTGGCGGTTGCGGTTGCTGTAAGTCCAGCTGTTGCTGCTGCTGTAGGTGTTGTTGTAGTTGCTGTTGTTGTTGCAACTGTTGCTGTTGATAGGCTTGGGCTGTGTCACTGGTCAGACTAGAGCTACTGTTGGTAGCGGCTACATTGGCCATGACGCTCGAAGTATCTGCCGGTGTCGCAGATAAGTGTGTAAATAATAATACAAACAATTGGCTGATTGACAGTAGAGAGTAGAATACACCTACCTATGGGGCGTTGTCCCCACTGTGTGCTCGTCCTTAATGTTGGAGCTGATTATGTTTACTATGTACTATGTATACGGCTGCGTGAGTGTTGTAGTGCACAAATACAGGCTAGAAACTCGCAAGCAATCCGCAACTCAATCCGTATCAATTCTTCACATGGGTGCGGGTGGAATTGACTCAACACGGGAAAAACTCACCAGATCTGGTCATGGTGAGGATTGACACTTTCAGAACTATTTCTTGATTATATGAACTCCACACCGAATGATACTGAAGAACACCCTAAAGAAGTCCAGTTGCACTATGCTCGACTGTACATGTATTTACACATTGGCCATTGCCATACATTTACGCAACACAAAACACAACCACACCAAGACACAAAGACATACACCATCCGACCACAAACACAGCAAGACGGCCAAGCTCCACGGTATGCCGTACAACCCCGACCCACCTAATCTCACACGCACATACCCATCGTTATGAAGGGATGCTGTAACAACTCCTTTGTGGAGGGTCGCAAATTGGGATCCTTTTCTATACATTTGTCGATCATATCCCGACCCTCCGGCCAAGTGACATCGGCTACGGATTCGGGTTTGATTCCCGACAGAACCTTTTTCATAATTGCCGCCACAGTCCGACATTCCTTATATGGGTACTGCACACGTGCGCGTGAAAAGTTGATATGCAGAGTCAGGGAGAGCAAACGCAAAAGGGTTCGGACAATCGGCGCCTGTCCCAGTGGGCGCGCATAGTCTTAAAAAAACTATCCAGGGCACCATCCTATAGATTTTTAGGACCGATTAACGTACAGCTGGTGTAGAGGGTTGCATAACTGGGTGTACCACAGTCGCACTCGAGTGCAATGCAAGCTCAGGCTGAACCTAGTCAGGACTGAACAACTACGTGGACCTCGGGGCCATGCGTGTGGGATAGGAGGTTAACCCTGTAACCCATAGCAACGGTGAGCGCAAAGCATGCCATGTGTTTGTCATTTCTTCACATATGCAGTCTATAGCTTCGCATGTGATCCTAAACCGTATGCGCATGAACGCGATGTCTAGAGCACCCACCACGACCCCACGATCAGTCGTACACGCTACTCACAACCTTACACCCTCAGGGGCCATAGATCGGCAACGCTCACTCACATGCACATGTGGGGGTATACCTACTTCCTAAATAGAATCACAATACCCGTTAACGACTACTTTATGAAACATTGGCTTGACATGCAACTCCTGCTGTGTACACGCGCACGCTACACTCCGCACTGGTTGCCGCTTACCTCCAACGTGAACATTTCTAATACACACATGCCAAAGGCATATATGTCCACCTTCTCGTTGTACCGCTCATCGTACATCTCGGGCGCCATAAACTCAGGAGTACCTGATATTGGGAGTGGGGGTGGGAGGTGTTTAGGAGAATAGGTCAACGTAGTCAACCGTGTAGGTATAACGAATAACCTGGTCAGGAATATAGAGTAGGCCAAGACCGAAATTCGGGATGACATAAGCTATGCTTAAGGTCTTTTAAAAATGCTTTAACGAACTAACCCATTGCGCATGCCACCACCTGCAATATATACCGTTGTACACACAAGCCTTGAAAACGATAGTCCTCTGGAGGATAACGGCAGACACAACGCATGCCAAACATATATACTGATAGCCTTTAGCACTATACTTCTAACCCCGATGGAGACCTTATACCGTGCGACCGGCTAATGATAAAAACTATACATTAGCGAACTTCGGGATAATAAAATAATAAAAACTATGCATGAGCAAAAATCGGGTTACTACCCCCACTAAATCCGGATATACCAAGAAATGTACTATTCTGAAGAAAAAACCCCTCCGCCAAACGCAGACATACCTATCACCGACTCCTTGTGCGAATCCCTTTTTACCGTCGCCAGCCCCAGATCGCCTATTTTGATTCTACTGGTTTCACTATGTATGAAAATATTGTCGCACTTCAGATCGCGATGAATCACAGCGGGATCCAAATTGTGCAGGTAGTCCAGACCCGATAATATTTGTTTGGCCCAATTCTGCACCACAGACGGCTTGATTGACTTGGCCCGTTGCAGGTACTGCTTGAGCGTCCCGCCGGTCAGGTATTCGGCAATGAAGACGATATTGCCTTTCTTCTTCGATTTAGAGGTAGAGTCCTGGAATTCGGGACCATAAGAATAAACAAACTAGGGTTTAGGGTTTAGAGTTTTAGGGTTTTAGGGTATTTGGAAGAGTGGGTGACCATTGCAGGTGCATGGTACGCTCTACACTGACGTGATATAAACAAATGGGACTCCGAGTATGAAGCGACACGTACCTTCCCCGCCGTCGTCCACCATTCGTAGCAGTCCAGGATAAACGGATGCTTCATGGATTTGAGCAGTTGTACTTCGCGTATGACGGCGTCGATGTCTTCTTTTCTCTCGTGTTGCGTCTAAATAGAAATAAAACGAAATAGAAATAAAAATAACCAACATTGACCAACGACTCTAGACTGTGTCGCGGTAGGTGAGACAGGTTCATTCTGAAGTCGAAAACGAGTTAAGCTATTCATCGGCAAAAAATAACGGGTAATGAAAGAATAATTATATCATTCAATACGCACCTACTAACACAATCAATAAAATCTATATATATATATATATATATACACATATATAGATATATATATTCTGTACGTAGTATGTTTACATATGTGTGATATACATATATATATATATATATATGTATATACACTTGTATATATATCTATTTATATATATATATATATATATATATATATATATGTGTGTGTGTGTTTGTGTGTGTTTGTGTGTGCATGTTAATTTCAGAAAGTGACATGTATGTCCAAAATCCATAGCATTTTCCATGTGAATAAGACTCAATCTGTGTACTGACATCAACTCGAAACAGGTTTTCTAGCATACCTTCAACTCATTCCAGGCGACGGACCGAGCTTCTTCGGTATCATATGCTTTGTATACGCTCTTGAACGCCCCGGTACCGAGCATAACATTCGTCTGTTAGCGGTGAATACGATGAACAAGGTGAGAAGCATAACCACGACGCACTCAGTCCACAAGTGATTCGATTAGTTGTGAGAGATCATCTGGAGAAAACAATACGTTGCGTGGAGGCTTTCCAGATGCAGACGATCAGACTGCTATAAGACCGCAAAATCGGCACCATAGCGACATGTGTAGCACAGGGCATGAAGTACAGAGCACTACAGGACTAACTGACAACAGGCCAACTCACTAAAAGGCCAACTGACCACAGGCCAACTCACTTACAAGAATAATTAACCACAGACCAACTCTTAAGACTGCACAGAGTGTCTTTCGGTAAACGACTGTAGGATTATCAGCGATTCACACTCCAACCCGAACGTTAAACGCACAGCTACCCCACTCGTCGCAGGCATAAGCACCACACTCGGCAACATGTATTCTACCCCATTCGCAAACATCGGTATATTCAGAAAAACATAGAACCAAGTGAGGATGGGTAAGGGATATTTAAGACCACAAAGCAGCTATATTTAAATAAATAAAAAAGAATCTTTACAACAGCCGATAATTGTTATCGGCTAATGTCCACTCCCACTCAGAACAACATTTCAAATCAACTTTGAATACATTCTCGGAAAGGACAACTGTGCAAGCGATAGACATTCCTGCACATGTGTATCTTGTATGGTCTGTCTGAGGCTACTATCTATACATCGATGCCCACAAACTAAGATATAAATACAAACGAACATATTTGAATTTATACATAAATGTACTATAAATATCAATAAGCAATATTGCGCATGCCAGAGCAGATACAAATGATTACGTATTGAGGTGCTACATGAACATGACACAAGCAATATACAATATTTCATCTATACATATATATACATATATATACATATACATGTATATATATACATATTATATATATATATATATATATATATATATATATACATACATATATATATATATATACGTAAATCGTACCGCTGTCCACACATTTTACGTGCTTATAGAAAATTGTATCTATAGCAGTCTATTTATAAAATTTGATATATTCATATAATTTTATATTTGGTTTAATTTTGGAATTGGTACACATTAAAACAAAGATATGGATAAATGTGGCCATCGGTGAATTTATGTACTTATTGTGCATTTTGCTTTCAATAACAGAATCATAGATTCGTAACAATAAGCCAAGTTCATATAGTCGTTGTATCTAAGCACTGAAAACCCCAATCCAAGAGTTATTTCTGAACATTATATAAAATACATATTCTCTATTCTTGTGTAATATTTAGTTTATGAAGGTGTCGATACTTTATATTCACATAACGCAATTATTTAAATAAATACTTTAGTTCATTACATACCTAAATACATATTATTACAAATTGAACCACGATGAGTGATGAGAGTGGGGTCTCATCAACCGATCCTCATGCACTTTGAAACACTTTCCATAGCTACGTCGCATGCTGATGCCGGTCGCATGGTTGTACCTTCCTTACTATGTAATTCCGGATGGCGCCAAAATGCTATCCAGGTAAACGACAGATATATCGTCTTTAACAAACTAGTTTACGACCCGTCGCGATGTGTATTCTTGGGGCGGTATGTATTGTACAATGAACCTCCGACTGTAATCAAAGACATGTTGTCCTAATATGTCTAAGTAACAGCCTAGTTTCCGACGGTCTCGAACTACTATACCGAAATTTGAAATATTATGCACATATGTACTTTAATTTGCTTCAATACGTTATATAGAGACGGTACACTAATAGAACGTAAATAAATATATTTGTGACCATTTTAATTGGCATAAACAGTCTAACTATTTATTTTTCGTCGCCTTTGACTGGTGTATGTAAATTCTGTTATTTACTGTTTTGAAATTTGAAACGGATTGAGGTTGGGTACTTAGGTTATACAATGTCCAATTTGATTGGATGGCGCCAAATGTGAACATGCATATTGCGTCATGTGTGATTGTATGTATAGATGGCCTGATCGCCTCCTGATGACTGATGTGCATTTGATTATGGCCTGATTTGGATATCAGATACATATGATAAATTTGTTCCTTTAGTGATTCACATGTAGATAAATAGCCTTGTGTTGTATAAAATATTCGCTGCTCACATCTACAACACCAGAAGTACGGTGTTTTGTTGTATCTGCAGTTCTGCACAGGATTACGTAACTATGGAAAGTGTTTCAAAGCATGAGGAGACACGTAGAGGATCGGTTGATGTGACCCCTCTACCGTGGCCTAAGCTGATTCCTGCGCTCGGGCTTCAGTTAGCGGAAGCTATAACTACGGAGATGTAAGTGCGTACTCTTGATATTATGATTACGGCACGTATATAATGTATATATATATATATATATATCTTACTATTTGTATATATATATATATTTATGCTTGTATATACACACACACATACATATATATATATTGTGTGTTATAAAACACAATCTACAGTTTCGGCAATTTGCTAGTGGGTCCTAATGGGTTCGCCGTTACATACTTAACCAGCGTACTTCTACACTAGTCCACTCGTTTTGAAATACCACATACAATTACACAGATTCTTGTCAACTTATAACATTAAAGCGATGAGTAGTTGATGCGGTCAGATTGTGTCGGATCGTTTCCAGCCGTCGGTTACGTGTATTCAAGCGCAATATGTTCATACTCAAGGTGGTCGTTTTGTAAGAAAGTACCTCCTATCAATGTGCTTGGTACTTCTAATAGTAGAGCTAACAGAGGGTACAGATGCTTAAGTAGACAATGGATATTCATACTTTGCAGGCTGTTTCCGTTCGTTGCTTTCATGGTGAAGGATTTCCATCTCACCGACGATGATAAGAAACTGGGATACTATGCCGGCTACATTGTCAGCAGTTTTTTGTTGGCACAGTTTGTGAGTTCGTTTGGATGGGGAGTCATCAGCGACAGCGTGGGTGAGCTAGTTCAGTTTAGGTGCATATGACACATACATATGTGTATATGTATGTTACCTGCTATGTTGTTGTCGGATTGTTTAACTACGAGTATGCCGGCTACATACGAAGTTTACGTAGCTTAGGTTATAAATTCATATTTGACGTCTACGCGAAGAGGTATATCCTGCCTTAGCATCTTCTCCTTCGATGCAAATTAAAGGGCTGTTAGCAATATATCTGGCCAGGGACTAGATAACAAAAGCTGTTTTTGTGTACATGTATGTTACGGTCGTTCCAATCCATCCGTCAAAAGACTTGATTTTCCTAAAAACAGGTCAACACTCAAATTCAAATGCAATAGACTCTAGTTAAGTAATGCCCAAATAATAGTTCAGTATTTCTCAAGTAGTAGGGTGCTCCTACGTAAGCGATCACGTCAGCACTATAATTTAAACGTAACCGCCATTGGGCTACACCACTTCCTCTGTCACTCAACTTTGCGTCACGGTAACCCTACAATCAGGTCGCAGGCCGGTGATGATGCTGGGTCTTGCTTGCAATGCGCTGTTTCTGGTGCTCTTCGGTTTCAGCAAAAACCTATTCTGGGCAGTCGCCATGCGTTGTCTTAATGGACTGATGAATGGCAATCAGGGCGTTGTTCAGGTACACTTGATTTTGATAAGATCCGTATCGCTCGTTTGTTACACATGTATGAATATATATATATATATATATATATAAGTTAATATATATATATACATAAA